TGTGCTCTCCTCTGCAGCTGGCCTGTGTCTCCGCTCGTCCCTGTGCTGCGTCCCTGTGCTCTCCTCTGCAGCTGGCCTGTGTCTCCGCTCGTCCCTGTGCTGCGTCCCTGTGCTGCGTCCCTGTGCTGCGTCCCTGTGCTCTCCTCTGCAGCTGGCCTGTGTCTCCGGGGCTCTCAGCAGCAGCGCTAACATAAAGGTACTTCCTGTGTTCTTTGTGGCGGCCTCATGAGCGTAAACAAGAGGTGACATCCTGGAGCAGGTATCCCCCCCTCCCTCAGGTATGTCAGCCCCCAGGCCCCCCAGCGCTGTGTGGTCTCTGCTGTAAACACATCCAACACACACCTCCGTCCATGTCTACACAACACACACAACGCAAAACGGGATGAAAACTAAGTCAGAAATTGCAAACTTTTAGCAAAATATGTCTAAACTTTAGCTCATTGTGACCGAGCCTTAAAACTAGACTTTCCAACGGGACTTGTTTTGAAAAGATGCAGAAATGTCTCCGTTGGAATTAAATAATAAAGAAATATTTATCCGTGTTATGTTGTTTGATTGTCTCTTGATGTGACACGTATGTCTTTGATGTGACACGTATGTCTTTGATGTGACACGTTTGATGTGACACGTATGTCTTTGATGTGACACGTATGTCTTTGATGTGACACGTATGTCTTTGATATGAGACGTATGTCTTTGATGTGACACGTATGTCTTTGATGTGACACGTATGTCTTTGATGTGACTTGTATGTCTTTGATGTGACACGTATGTCTTTGATGTGACACGTATGTCTTTGATGTGACTTGTATGTCTTTGATGTGACACGTATGTCTTTGATGTGACACGTATGTCTTTGATGTGACACATGTCTTTGATGTGACACGTATGTCTTTGATGTGACACGTATGTCTTTGATGTGACACGTATGTCTTTGATGTGACACGTATGTCTTTGATGTGACACGTATGTCTTTGATGTGACACGTATGTCTTTGATGTGACACGTTTGATGTGACACGTATGTCTTTGATATGACACGTATGTCTTTGATGTGACACGTATGTCTTTGATGTGACACGTATGTCTTTGATATGAGACGTATGTCTTTGCTGTGACACGTATGTCTTTGATGTGACACGTATGTATTTGATGTGACACGTATGTCTTTGATGTGACACGTATGTCTTTGATGTGACACGTATGTCTTTGATGTGACACGTATGTCTTTGATGTGACTTGTATGTCTTTGATGTGACACGTATGTCTTTGATGTGACACGTATGTCTTTGATGTGACACATGTCTTTGATGTGACACGTATGTCTTTGATGTGACACGTATGTCTTTGATGTGACACGTATGTCTTTGATGTGACACGTATGTCTTTGATGTGACACGTATGTCTTTGATGTGACACGTATGTCTTTGATGTGACACGTATGTCTTTGATGTGACACGTATGTCTTTGATGTGACACGTATGTCTTTGCTGTGACACGTATGTCTTTGATGTGACACGTATGTCTTTGATGTGACACGTATGTCTTTGATGTGACACGTATGTCTTTGATATGACACGTATGTCTTTGATGTGACACGTATGTCTTTGCTGTGACACGTATGTCTTTGATGTGACACGTATGTCTTTGATGTGACACGTATGTCTTTGATGTGACACGTATGTCTTTGATGTGACACGTATGTCTTTGATGTGTGCCGTAACATTGACTATTTTATGCATATTCTGACTTGGTTCTGTTTGAAGAGAAAGTGAGTAAACTTCCAGGTTGTGAGTAAAGATCCTGTCCGTGAAGTTAACTTTCCACATGTGTCTCATTCTTGTTTGTCGACAGAATATGCTCAGATTAAGATAAAAACCACTAGTTTCAAGCGTTTATTACCTCATATTTGATCATTTTTGCAATGCGATAACTCACAGGCCTCGGACCATCTGTTTGACATGTTAGAGTCTTATTCCTGCTGTAAAGTACAACGAAAGCTGTAGACCCAGGACTGAGGCTGTAGACCCAGGACTGAGGCTGTAGACCCAGGACTGAGGCTGTAGACCCAGGACTGAGGCTGTAGACCCAGGACTGAGGCTGTAGACCCAGGACTGAGGCTGTAGACCCAGGACTGAGGCTGTAGACCCAGGACTGAGGCTGTAGACCCAGGACTGAGGCTGTAGACCCAGGACTGAGGCTGCAGACCCAGGACTGAGGCTGTAGACCCAGGACTGAGGCTGCAGACCCAGGACTGAGGCTGTAGACCCAGGACTGAGGCCACAGAACGAGAACCGAGGCCACACGATGCGGCCCCAGGCAGGAACTGGGTGTAGCCCACGAGTCCAGGCCGGGGTCCACAGGTGCAGATGGAGGAGACCAAGGTCACACACGGCGATTACAGAAGCGAGACCAGAACACACTGGTCCATCAAAGCCTCCGACCAAACACCATCTAGTAAGTAAGTAATCTTTACCGCCTTTCTCAGACCAGAGTCACAGCGGTTCACAGCGGTTTACATTAGTCTGTCACTCACACAGAGATGGGAGGGGCCAGTGAAGGAGGCACAGACCTATGGTCCATGTTTTTAGTGGTAGGGGAAACCGGAGCACCCGGAGGAAAAATACACAAACACAGGAAGGACATGTAAACTCCACTCAGAAAGGCCCTGCTCCGACCGGGATTCGAACCCAGGACCTTCTTGCTGAGAAGCGAGAGTGCTAACTACTATATGTGTGTGAGTGTTGTCTATGTGTTGTTTATGAGTTGTGTATGTGCTGCTGAAACAATGTTTTAGTTGAACCCCGTTAAAAAAATCATTTCAATTGGTAAAATTTATTTTTATTAGGTTAACTGAACTTATCCTCCAAAGGTTTATCATCTCACCCTAACCCTATTTTCAAGTCAGACTTCAGTGAAACAACGATTTGGATGAATCCGACTCACTACTTTATGTGAACTTCAAAGTCTATAGAAAATCAACTTCAATTAAACGACTTTTCCAAATCCAAATAAAGGTACAATATCAGATTCAGATTCATTTATTAGCCATGTGCAGTATAAAAACTACATTGGAATACAATCGCAACAAAGGTACTCTGTGTACCTAAATACCTACATAAAACAGGTTTGTACTGAAATTCTACTTAAATTTGATCCGACTCACGATAAGTCGTTATTCTAAAGCTTGTGTGGCATCGACTCCTGCTCTGTGTGTTTTACATGGTGGAAAATGACCCAGATACTGCAGGGCTACTTTGGCTCGGTCCTGTCGGTTAGGCCTACTTTGGCTCGGTCCTGTCGGTTAGGCCTACTTTGGCTCGGTCCTGTCGGTTAGGCCTACTTTGGCTCGGTCCTGTCGGTTAGGCCTACTTTGGCTCGGTCCTGTCGGTTAGGCCTACTTTGGCTCGGTCCTGTCGGTTAGGCCTACTTTGGCTCGGTCCTGTCGGTTAGGCCTACTTTGGCTCGGTCCTGTCGGTTAGGCCTACTTTGGCTCGGTCCTGTCGGTTAGGCCTACTTTGGCTCGGTCCTGTCGGTTAGGCCTACTTTGGCTCGGTCCTGTCGGTTAGGCCTACTTTGGCTCGGTCCTGTCGGTTAGGCCTACTTTGGGTCGGTCCTGTCGGTTAGGCCTACTTTGGGTCGCTCACATATTTTGCTTTAGGACTTGCTTCAGATTCACTCTCGAAATAAATGCTCAAATGTAGAGTTTTTCAGAAGGATAGTTTCTGTTTTTCTCTGCAATGCATTCTGGGTACTGTCTCTGCTTCATAACTGCACCAAAGTATTTTCACTTAAAGCAGTAAACTCAGTATAGTACAGGGAGCTATGATTATCTCATACAGTACTTCTACAGTACTTATAGAGTACTTATACAGTACGTATACAGTACTTCTACAGAACTTATACAGTACTTCTACAGTACTTATACAGTACTTCTACAGTACTTCTACAGTACTTCTACAGTACTTATAGAGTACTTATACAGTACTTATACAGTACTTCTACAGTACTTCTACAGTACTTATACAGTACTTATACAGTACTTCTACAGTACGTCTACAGTACTTATACAGTACTTATACAGTACTTCTACAGTACTTCTACAGTACTTATAGAGTACTTATACAGTACTTCTACAGTACGTCTACAGTACTTCTACAGTATTCATACAGTACTTCTACAGTACTTATAGAGTACTTATACAGTACTTCTACAGTACGTCTACAGTACTTATACAGTACTTCTACAGTACTTATACAGTACTTCTACAGTACTTCTACAGTACTTATACAGTATTCATACAGTACTTCTACAGTACTTAAAGAGTACTTATACAGTACTTATACAGTACGTCTACAGTACTTATACAGTACTTCTACAGTACTTCTACAGTACTTATACAGTATTCATACAGTACTTCTACAGTACTTATAGAGTACTTATACAGTACGTATACAGTACTCATACAGTAGTTCTACAGTACTTATACAGTACTCATACAGTACTTCTACAGTACTTATAGAGTACTTCTACAGTACTCATACAGTACTTCTACAGTACTTATAGAGTACTTATACAGTACTTCTACAGTACTTCTACAGTACTTATAGAGTACTTATACAGTACTTCTACAGTACTTATACAGTACTTCTACAGTACTTCTACAGTACTTCTACAGTACTTATACAGTATTTCTACAGTATTTATACAGTACTTCTACAGTACTTATACAGTACTTATACAGTACTTATTTGTGTCAGTGTGTGTGCTGTGTATGAGTGTGTGTCAGTGTGTGTGATGTGTATCAGTGTGTGTGATGTGTATCAGTGTCTGTGATGTGTATGAGTTGTGTGTCTGTGATGTGTATGAGTTGTGTGTGTGCTGTGTATGAGTTGTGTGTCTGTGATGTGTATGAGTTGTGTGTGTGCTGTGTATGAGTTGTGTGTCTGTGATGTGTATGAGTTGTGAGTGTGATGTGTATGAGTTGTGTGTCTGTGATGTGTATGAGTTGTGTGTCTGTGCTGTGTATGAGTTGTGTGTCTGTGATGTGTATGAGTTGTGAGTGTGATGTGTATGAGTTGTGTGTCTGTGATGTGTATGAGTTGTGAGTGTGATGTGTATGAGTTGTGTGTCTGTGCTGTGTATGAGTGTGTGTCAGTGTGTGTGATGTGTATCAGTGTGTGTGCTGTGTATGAGTGTGTGTGCTGTGATGTGTATGAGTTGTGTGTCTGTGCTGTGTATGAGTTGTGTGTCTATGATGTGTATGAGTTGTGTGTGTGCTGTGTATGAGTTGTGTGTCTGTGATGTGTATGAGTTGTGTGTCTGTGATGTGTATGAGTTGTGTGTCTGTGATGTGTATGAGTTGTGTGTCTGTGATGTGTATGAGTTGTGTGTCTGTGATGTGTATGAGTTGTGTGTCTGTGATGTGTATGAGTTGTGTGTCTGTGATGTGTATGAGTTGTGTGTCTGTGATGTGTATGAGTTGTGTGTCTGTGATGTGTATGAGTTGTGTGTCTGTGATGTGTATGAGTTGTGTGTGTGCTGTTTATGAGTTGTGTGTCTGTGATGTGTATGAGTTGTGTGTGTGCTGTGTATGAGTTGTGTGTCTGTGATGTGTATGAGTTGTGTGTCTGTGATGTGTATGAGTTGTGTGTGTGCTGTGTATGAGTTGTGTGTCTGTGATGTGTATGAGTTGTGTGTCTGTGCTGTGTATGAGTTGTGTGTCTATGATGTGTATGAGTTGTGTGTGAGTTGTGTGTCTATGATGTGTATGAGTTGTGTGTGAGTTGTGTGTCTATGATGTGTATGAGTTGTGTGTGAGTTGTGTGTCTGTGATGTGTATGAGTTGTGTGTGTGCTGTGTATGAGTTGTGTGTCTGTGCTGTGTATGAGTGTGTGTCAGTGTGTGTGATGTGTATCAGTGTGTGTGCTGTGTATGAGTGTGTGTGCTGTGATGTGTATGAGTTGTGTGTCTGTGCTGTGTATGAGTTGTGTGTCTATGATGTGTATGAGTTGTGTGTGTGCTGTGTATGAGTTGTGTGTCTGTGCTGTGTATGAGTTGTGTGTGTGCTGTGTATGAGTTGTGTGTCTGTGATGTGTATGAGTTGTGTGTCTGTGATGTGTATGAGTTGTGTGTCTGTGATGTGTATGAGTTGTGTGTGTGCTGTGTATGAGTTGTGTGTCTGTGATGTGTATGAGTTGTGTGTCTGGGATGTGTATGAGTTGTGTGTCTGTGATGTGTATGAGTTGTGTGTGTGCTGTGTATGAGTTGTGTGTCTGTGATGTGTATGAGTTGTGTGTCTGTGATGTGTATGAGTTGTGTGTCTGTGATGTGTATGAGTTGTGTGTCTGTGATGTGTATGAGTTGTGTGTCTGTGATGTGTATGAGTTGTGTGTCTGTGATGTGTATCAGTGTGTGAGCAGCAGATGGAGGCTGTGGCTTTGACCCCGCCCATGGGAGCGGGGACTACCGGGGGTCCACTTCCTTATCTGTCAGAGCGAGACCCCCGAGACCCCGCTGGGCCCAGACCGGGGGCCAAGGGTCACAACCTCTGCCAGGAACAAGGGCCACTGTTCAGCTCCACTCAAGTGTGGACGCACTGGGACCAGGCCAGGCCAGGCCAGTGTGTGCGACGCACTGGGACCAGGCCAAGCCAGGCAAGTGTGCGACGCACTGGGACCAGGCCAAGCCAGGCAAGTGTGCGACGCACTGGGACCAGGCCAAGCCAGGCCAGTGTGTGCGACGCACTGGGACCAGGCCAGGCCAGGCCAGTGTGTGGACGCACTGGGACCAGGCCAAGCCAGGCAAGTGTGCGACGCACTGGGACCAGGCCAAGCCAGGCAAGTGTGCGACGCACTGGGACCAGGCCAAGCCAGGCCAGTGTGTGCGACGCACTGGGACCAGGCCAGGCCAGGCCAGTGTGTGGACGCACTGGGACCAGGCCAAGCCAGGCAAGTGTGCGACGCACTGGGACCAGGCCAAGCCAGGCAAGTGTGCGACGCACTGGGACCAGGCCAAGCCAGGCAAGTGTGTGCGACGCACTGGGACCAGGCCAAGCCAGGCCAGTGTGCGACGCACTGGGACCAGGCCAAGCCAGGCAAGTGTGTGCGACGCACTGGGACCAGGCCAAGCCAGGCAAGTGTGTGCGACGCACTGGGACCAGGCCAAGCCAGGCCAGTGTGCGACGCACTGGGACCAGGCCAAGCCAGGCCAGTGTGCGACGCACTGGGACCAGGCCAAGCCAGGCCAGTGTGCGACGCACTGGGACCAGGCCAAGCCAGGCAAGTGTGTGCGACGCACTGGGACCAGGCCAGGCCAGGCCAGTGTGTGCGACGCACTGGGACCAGGCCAAGCCAGGCCAGTGTGTGCGACGCACTGGGACCAGGCCAAGCCAGGCCAGTGTGTGCGACGCACTGGGACCAGGCCAAGCCAGGCCAGTGTGTGCGACGCACTGGGACCAGGCCAAGCCAGGCCAGTGTGTGCGACTAACATCAGTCACTAACATCATCTAACCCTAACCCTATCCATAATCATTGATATATGAACCTATATCCATAATCATTTATATACTGAACCTATATCCATAATCATTGATATATGAACCTATATCCATAATCATTTATATATGAACCTATATCCATAATCATTTATATATGAACCTATATCCATAATCATTTATATATAAACTTATATCCATAATCATTTATATATGAATCTATATCCATAATCATTTATATATAAACTTATATCCATAATCATTTATATATGAATCTATATCCATAATCATTTATATATGAACCTATATCCATAATCATTTATATATGAATCTATATCCATAATCATTTATATACTGAACCTATATCCATAATCATTTATATATGAACCTATATCCATAATCATTTATATATGAACCTATATCCATAATCATTTATATATGAATCTATATCCATAATCATTTATATACTGAACCTATATCCATAATCATTTATATATGAACCTATATCCATAATCATTTATATATGAACCTATATCCATAATCATTTATATATGAATCTATATCCATAATCATTTATATATGAATCTATATCCATAATCATTTATATATGAACCTATATCCATAATCATTTATATATGAACCTATATCCATAATCATTTATATATGAACCTATATCCATAATCATTTATATATGAATCTATATCCATAATCATTTATATATGAACTAATCTATATCCATAATCATTTATATATGAATCTATATCCATAATCATTTATATATGAATCTATATCCATAATCATTTATATATGAATCTATATCCATAATCATTTATATATGAATCTATATCCATAATCATTTATATATGAATCTATATCCATAATCATTTATTATGAATCTATATCCATAATCATTTATATATGAATCTATATCCATAATCATTTATATATGAATCTATATCCATAATCATTTATATATGAATCTATATCCATAATCAGATCCTCTGCAGATGTTTCTATAATGTGCAGTTCATGATAAAAGCTTGTTCCGGATTTGCTGCGATCGCTTTTTTTGTGCATAAAACATGATTTTTTTTCATGAAAACGTGAACAGATAATTCTGAAAACCTCCGTGCATGTGTATTAATAATGTATAAGTATAATGTGTTCGAATCCAAGATGGCGGACATAAAGTTTTCTCCAGACATAAAGTCCGCCATCTTGCCGGCCCCCGCGGCCATTTTGAATAACTCCATGAGAGCGCAGTTTTTGGCCCATTAGTTAGAACGGCGGAGATAGGCGCGACTACGTCCGTTATTATACAGTCTATGGTTTGTACAAGCATTTTGTAGAATAGACTAAAATCTGGGAAGAAGTTGTTTATATAACACTTCCCTGGCTGCCATGGCTCCACTCTTCAGAGGTCCACCAGGACAGAACTGATGACAGGAGGGTAAGGACCAGGAAAAAGCACCATCAAAGGACCAGCGGAGCAGCAGGGGGAGGGCCTTCAAACACCCACTGCCTTTTCACGAGCAAGAGAGAAGATAGAGAGAGACCAGAGGGAGGGGGGAGACCAGAGAGAGACCAGAGAGAGACCAGAGAGAGAGACCAGAGAGAGACCAGAGAGAGAGACCAGAGAGAGACCAGAGAGAGACCAGAGAGAGAGACCAGAGAGAGACCAGAGAGAGAGACCAGAGAGAGACCAGAGAGAGACCAGAGAGAGACCAGAGAGAGACCAGAGAGAGACCAGAGAGAGACCAGAGAGAGAGACCAGAGGGAGAGAGACCAGAGAGAGAGACCAGAGAGAGACCAGAGAGAGAGACCAGAGAGAGACCAGAGAGAGACCAGAGAGAGACCAGAGAGAGACCAGAGAGAGACCAGAGAGAGACCAGAGAGAGACCAGAGAGAGAGACCAGAGAGAGACCAGAGAGAGACCAGAGAGAGAGACCAGAGAGAGACCAGAGAGAGAGACCAGAGAGAGAGACCAGAGAGAGAGACCAGAGAGAGACCAGAGAGAAGCCAGAGAGAGAGACCAGAGAGAGAGACCAGAGAGAGACCAGAGAGAGAGACCAGAGAGAGACCAGAGAGAGAGACCAGAGAGAGAGACCAGAGAGAGACCAGAGAGAGAGACCAGAGAGAGACCAGAGAGAGAGACCAGAGAGAGAGACCAGAGAGAGAGACCAGAGAGAGACCAGAGAGAGACCAGAGAGAGAGACCAGAGAGAGAGACCAGAGAGAGAGACCAGAGAGAGACCAGAGAGAGAGACCAGAGAGAGAGACCAGAGAGAGACCAGAGAGAGACCAGAGAGAGACCAGAGAGAGAGACCAGAGAGAGACCAGAGAGAGACCAGAGAGAGAGACCAGAGAGAGACCAGAGAGAGAGACCAGAGAGAGACCAGAGAGAGACCAGAGAGAGACCAGAGAGAGACCAGAGAGAGACCAGAGAGAGAGACCAGAGAGAGACCAGAGAGAGACCAGAGAGAGACCAGAGAGAGAGACCAGAGAGAGACCAGAGAGAGAGACCAGAGAGAGACCAGAGAGAGACCAGAGAGAGAGACCAGAGAGAGAGACCAGAGAGAGACCAGAGAGAAGACCAGAGAGAGAGACCAGAGAGAGAGAGAGACCAGAGAGAGAGACCAGAGAGAGAGACCAGAGAGAGACCAGAGAGAGAGAGAGAGACCAGAGAGAGACCAGAGAGAGACCAGAGAGAGAGACCAGAGAGAGACCAGAGAGAGAGACCAGAGAGAGAGACCAGAGAGAGAGACCAGAGAGAGACCAGAGAGAGACCAGAGAGAGAGAGGAGAGAGAGAGAGACCAGAGAGAGAGACCAGAGAGAGACCAGAGAGAGAGACCAGAGAGAGACCAGAGAGAGAGACCAGAGAGAGACCAGAGAGAGACCAGAGAGAGAGACCAGAGAGAGAGACCAGAGAGAGAGACCAGAGAGAGAGACCAGAGAGAGAGACCAGAGAGAGACCAGAGAGAGACCAGAGAGAGAGCCAGAGAGAGAGACCAGAGAGAGACCAGAGAGAGACCAGAGAGAGAGACCAGAGAGAGAGACCAGAGAGAGAGACCAGAGAGAGAGACCAGAGAGAGAGACCAGAGAGAGAGACCAGAGAGAGACCAGAGAGAGACCAGAGAGAGACCAGAGAGAGACCAGAGAGAGACCAGAGAGAGAGAGAGAGACCAGAGAGAGACCAGAGAGAGAGAGAGAGACCAGAGAGAGACCAGAGAGAGAGACCAGAGAGAGACCAGAGAGAGAGACCAGAGAGAGAGACCAGAGAGAGACCAGAGAGAGACCAGAGAGAGACCAGAGAGAGACCAGAGAGAGACCAGAGAGAGAGACCAGAGAGAGAGACCAGAGAGAGACCAGAGAGACCAGAGAGAGACCAGAGAGAGAGACCAGAGAGAGACCAGAGAGAGACCAGAGAGAGACCAGAGAGAGACCAGAGAGAAACCAGAGAGAGGCCAGAGAGAGACCAGAGAGAAACCAGAGAGAGACCAGAGAGAGACCAGAGAGAGAGACCAGAGAGAGACCAGAGAGAGAGACCAGAGAGAGACCAGAGAGAGACCAGAGAGAGAGACCAGAGAGAGAGACCAGAGAGAGACCAGAGAGAGAGACCAGAGAGAGACCAGAGAGAGAGACCAGAGAGAGAGACCAGAGAGAGACCAGAGAGAGAGACCAGAGAGAGACCAGGGAGAGACCAGAGAGAGACCAGAGAGAGACCAGAGAGAGACCAGAGAGAGACCAGAGAGAGACCAGAGAGAGACCAGAGAGAGACCAGAGAGAGACCAGAGAGACCAGAGAGAGACCAGAGAGAGAGACCAGAGAGAGAGACCAGAGAGAGAGACCAGAGAGAGAGACCAGAGAGAGAGACCAGAGAGAGACCAGAGAGAGAGACCAGAGAGAGAGACCAGAGAGAGACCAGAGAGAGACCAGAGAGAGAGACCAGAGAGAGACCAGAGAGAGACCAGAGAGAGACAAGAGAGAGACCAGAGAGAGAGACCAGAGAGAGAGACCAGAGAGAGAGACCAGAGAGAGAGACCAGAGAGAGACCAGAGAGAGACCAGAGAGAGAGACCAGAGAGAGACCAGAGAGAGACCAGAGAGAGAGACCAGAGAGAAGCCAGAGAGAGACAGAGGCCAAAGAGAGACCAGAGAGAGACCAGAGAGAGACCAGAGAGAGACCAGAGAGAGACCAGAGAGAGACCAGAGAGAGACCAGAGAGAGAGACCAGAGAGAAGCCAGAGAGAGACAGAGGCCAAAGAGAGACCAGAGAGAGACCAGAGAGAGACCAGAGAGAGACCAGAGGGAGACCAGAGAGAGACCAGAGAGAGACCAGAGAGACCAGAGAGAGACCAGAGAGAGAGACCAGAGAGAAGCCAGAGAGAGACCAGAGAGAGACCAGAGAGAGACCAAAGAGAGACAGAGGCCAAAGAGAGAGAGACCAGAGAGAGACCAGAGAGAGACAGAGGCCAAAGAGAGACCAGAGAGAGACCAGAGAGAGACCAGAGAGAGACAGAGGCCAAAGAGAGAGAAAGACCAAAGAGAGGCCAAAGAGAGAGAGACCAGGGAGAGGCCAGAGAAAGACCAGAGAGAGACCAGAGAGAGACCAGAGAGAGACCAAAGAGAGACAGAGGCCAAAGAGAGAGAGATCAGAGAGCGGGAGGGACGGGGGAGAGAGACCATAGAGTGTGAGTATAGTATTTCTCTCTCTCTGGTCTCTCTCTGGTCTCTCTCTGGTCTCTCTCTGGTCTCTCTCTCTGGTCTCTCTCTCTGGTCTCTCTCTGGTCTCTCTCTGGTCTCTCTCTGGTCTCTCTCTGGTCTCTCTCTCTGGTCTCTCTCTGGTCTCTCTCTGGTCTCTCTCTGGTCTCTCTCTGGTCTCTCTGGTCTCTCTCTGGTCTCTCTCTGGTCTCTCTCTGGTCTCTCTCTGGTCTCTCTCTTCTCTCTGTCTCTCTGTCTCTCTGTCTCTCTGTCTCTCTGTCTCTCTCTCTCTCTCTCTCTCTCTCT